TGGATCATGGTTTATAGAGCTTCTGGTTTACCACTATAGTTATGAAGTATGTGCTGTATGTTATTAAGCATCTCACCCCTCCAATGGCGAAAGACATTTCTACAGCATTCTTGTACAGAGTGTGCTGATCGTTGTTCAGCGTCCCATCTGGAGAAGAGAACAGTTGCCACTTTGTTAATGGTCTTGTGTAACTATAAAGTGGTATCCGCCCTCACAGCCCTGACAATCCTCTTTCGATATCAAAATCGCGAAGAGTGGTCAGCGACTGGACGATCATTCCCTGAAACACGTAATTTATACCACTGAACTGGGCGACAGTCGTGAAAGTGTAATAAAGTTATGCTAACCGAGTTTGCCTCAGCTCATTATGTATTTATTATGCAGTCATGACTAGGAAAAGACGCCCGAATTGAAGGAGTCAGAAACGCAGCGCTTATTAAGCGTCATTTGATCGTTCCCTCATGTCATTTTTACCTGCTGAACAGAAGACGACGGTTCGCAGATGAAATGGATGAATGATAAGGACCAATGATGTTTTATGACAATTTCGAAAATATGGACAGCAAATAACATCTTTGCTGCTGTTTCGATCGTCTAGGTCCAAACAGTTTGGCCTGTTTAGGTCGCATGAACCCAGATATAATATCATCGCGCTTCATAAAAGAATGTGACATTTGCCACGTCGTTCATGAACCTCAGAAAATGCGGATGCGCATGGTCCGAAAAACTTATGCGAGCGAGGGTAATTAACGCTTCGCAAATTCGATTCAGCCACTTATCTCCTGCAAATCAAACCAGAGGATTCATCAGCCCACTTCCAAATCATTTTTTGACCAATTGCGTTAGAGAACAACCAAGCAAACTTTTCACTCAAAAAATTATGATTGCTTAGGAATGTTCAACCTCATAATGAGTCAACGCCTCTGGCAGATATAGACGCCAAGGATTACCAAAGAAAAGGTGCTAACACGTTCGATCAACGCACATCACGCTATTGCGAAAAGGCTTCATTCGGAGGAATTAAGCTCCAACGATAAACAGCACATTCTAACTATTTTATCAGCGATGTCGACCGTCTGAAAGCTTCACTTGAAGCTGATCCAAGAAAGACCCTGTGAAATTACGCAAGACTTGGTGCAAGCGGAACAGCTTTGCAGAATCTGAATCATATCGGCAAGTTGGATAGGTTAGACACAGAAAATTGCCACAGAATTTCAGTAAAAAACAAAAAAAATATTTATCGATCAAACGAATGTTCTTCACTCATGGTAAGAGGAATCAGTGATTAATTTTTTAACGGAATCATTAGTGATGAAACAGTGGATTCTATATTACAGTTACTGGTGTTCAGTACGGAACGAAAATCATGGTTTGGTCACTGTGGGCTGCAACTAGTGTGCCATACTGTAACATGAAGACCCATCTGAAAAATCACATCGATGGGTTCCTTTTCTGCCTATAAACCATGCTTTCTTCCTTTCTCAGATGGCAGACAACGATCAAGTAAAGGGACTGCTTGGAGGAGTGAAGTACGGTAGGACTTGCTAATGTCTTACCGCTACGGTAGCCGTAAATTAATCTTTTGTAAATCCCAAGACGGTTGGACAACTAGCTCTGGTGAATTATTATAAAACCCTGATTGGTTATCATAACCGCCCAGTGGTTAGGCAGCAGCTGTTACTGTTTAGCCGGTCGATAAATGAGCTGTTTTTCTTGGTAACTAATGGCGCATTCTAATGACCTGCTCTACAGCACTCTACGTCTTCATTGCTTCAAAAAGGATATAATATAATAGGACAGTCACCCAGTAATAATTTGAACTCAAATTATTGCACAGGAGCTTTCGATTCTGACTTATCAACGCTGTGGGCCAATGATATTATTTTAATTTGCGCAAAGGTCCTCGTCGATTAGGCGCACCCCATTGTTGCTGATGTTGACGAATCAAAAGGGTCAGTCCTACCTCACCTCAAGTTTTGCCTTTACGTTTTGCAGGTAACTGTTCAGAAATTGAATGCCTTGCCTTAGACGCTCTCCGTTATTCCTCTTCATATTCCTTGGGTCTTTTCCACACTGATTTGTGATTTTAATTTTTTTCCATTTATAACGGTTCCTCTGGAAAAAAGTTTTCTCTAACCAAGCAGTAACCGAAATCGCATTCAAATAGTTGACTGGCTCCAGAAGTTCAGACTTTTCAAAATGGCATAAATGCACTTTCAGAGTGCGTGTGATGATTGCAATGCAACTTATTATTAACGAAGATATGAAACTTCGAACTCGCGTTTAAAACGGCAACAGCACTGTTGCAACAACTTAACACTACAGGTAAAGTGAGGTACCTTAACTTCCACGCTATTCATGCCAGTTTGTAGATTGCGTTTTGAAACGACGGTCCTTGCAGTATGCCGGATAACGAAGTATGCCCTTCAAATGATAAAAGACAGACGAGAGAGGAAAGACCGTCAGAACATATGCCTTTGGATGTGAAAAACAAGGCTTGTTCGTTGACGACTTGTCGAGACCTTCCGACACCAAATCTGAAGTTAGCACTTGGGAAACAGACCCAAGCAAACCTCATCGCCAGTCAGCTTAAACTGTGGGGATGCATCGTTTGCACACCTCCCGGGATTCGACCAGATCCATCACCGTAACGACTGATGCATGAAAAACAAAATCTGAAACCCAGCTAATTAAGGCAATGCTTTTTAGGTTAAGCAACGATTAATTCGCTTGCGTCCACCACCGCATTTACATGACTGGTTCTGCAAAAGAAGCTTTACGGTTATGGACAGTGAAACCGCCGGAGCCTTTCCTTGGAGCGTTGAGGTTATACCTCCTAGCCGAACCAGGTCCGTCATCAAATCTGTGGACTCCGAGTCCGACATTGAAACTGATCGGACCGTTCGAATCGGCAACAGAAGACCGGGGTCCAGCTAAGCGTCCATCCGGCTGGCAGAGAAGCGACGCGGATGCAGCTCACAAAAAAGTCTCCAAAAAACCTAGCTATTGATCGACGCCTTTCATGGCGAAAATTAGACGATTACGGTAAGGCTAGTGGTGGGCGGCGGACGGATGAACGCGGACGATTTACGCGGTGGTGTGTGATCCGAAGCGCGGTCGTAAATCTACGGGCTAAAAAAATGTCGCCTCACAAAGTTATCAGTCACTGACTCGACGTTCGATTGGCCAAGTTTGGTAAAATACGATCTTGGTATTGATTTCTGTCTGTACAGTTTTACAAGGGAACGATTTTAAATTCGATTTTACCAAAGTTTTTAATCGTACCACCATAGGTCAAGCTGAGAGAGGCAGCTGGCCGTAGATTGGCCGCGCTGATTTCCGTTGTTAAGGGCGTCCGTATCCGTGAGGTGTGACGACATGCGGTCAGTCGATCCAGGTACCTCACGACCAGATGCGAGTCAGACGGCGAAAGCAAATTACAAACACAATCATAAGTATCGTACAGCTTAACGCTTTTGAAACCACCTTTTGATTTATAGCTACAGATGTCGTTTAATCTTGACATTTTAATGAACGACTCCATATTATTTTTTAATAACGTTGCGCGTTACTTCTGCAACGTCAGAAAATGGAGCAAACCTGTCTTTTGATTTCTACAAATATACGACTATATATAATTCATACTGAACGTCCCTTTTCTGCAGGGCCGACAACGACCAAAATATGGCATCGCATGGTACGGTTATCCGAGCCGGATTGAGTAGCCACGATTGCTATGGAGGCTCGCCATGGACACTCAAACGATTGGGTTAAGGAAATCGTCGTGGTCAGCACTGACCAGCTTCTTTTGGTTTTGGGCAAAAAAGGGTCAGCCAACTTTAAATAAGGCTGGTTACTTTTACTGATCATTTATCCTCTGAACAGAAGACCAAGTCCGGAGAAAATTCAGTGAAACGAAACATGATGATTGGAAATGAACGTTATATTCTTATATTCTTTGCTGCATGTGCGAAATCCGGCTATCACCAATATCTAAATTTACCATCTCAAATATGCAGCTTATAAAAATGAGAAGCTTGCTTTCGTTTGAAACTTTCATCCCACCAGTTTCCCTGTGTGACTTTCCCAGACGTGACGTGGCAGACAAAAACTTCCCCAGACCTCATTAATAATGGAGCAGGAAGACATAATTCCCTGAAGGCGCTTCTACGTTACAGTCTGACTGTATGCGACTACATTTTCTGCAAGAAAGTTTTCTAGGAAACTACTTAACTCGCATTAGAGCTCGCTTTTTGGCACCCAACTTACGAACTGCTGCAGACAACCAGTCAAAATTTCAAAGCTCACTCGTCCCTCTTCCATGAAGAAGGCCCGATGAGACTTGGGCCGAAGCTTAGGTACAGATGAACGATCCAATTTGCCAAATTATTTTTTTGTGCGAATAAATATATCTTGTTTTGTCACGTTTTTAGTATGACCACCACGAAAACACGAACCCAATTCTTGGAAGTTTACTATCAGTAAACTTGAACAGCATGGTAGTATATATTTTACTGCGCAACAATACTATACCGGTATATAAGTACATCAGCGGCGTAGTATAGCAGATTCTAGGGCAGGCATATTCAATAACAAAAGTTGATACTGCTGCGGTACTGTAATATACCGCTAATACGCTTTTGTATTAAAACACAGTCCAGAAGAACAATTTTACGATTACAAACCAAGTACACGGACGGGTTTATTGTATGGTTTATTCCCTATATTTAATCTTACGTCGAGAACAGGTCCACTACGTGCTTCCAATAAGAATTCCGGGGTCGAAACATTTGGGGCGGTGTTGGATCACCAATCTTCAATAATCGTACAGCCCAGAAGATCATTATGGATTACGTACTGGGAATGAAAATGCGCGTATGAATCCAACGCTTCAATCCTCCACAATCTATGCCCTTTGCAATATCTCGGCGACGACTGCTTTTACTGGGGCACGTGCTGAGAAGTCTACCAAACAATCCACCTATACTACGACCAAGAGTGTCAGCTCGATCCCTGGATGGCACCAGGAACATAAATGGAAAAATTAAGACACGGTAGGACATCGTAACTAACATTGAAGTTTTCTATCTGCCGGCAGCATACGGGAAGAAGGCAGGAAGAAACACCTGATGAATCAAGTGGCGGATTGCGCTTTGTCGAGGAAGTAGAAAGCGGGGATCCGGGAACGTCATTGGATGTGACTAAAGCAGCATATGTAACAACAACAATACATGGCATGCAACTCCGCCTTTTCCGCGTCCAGGCCCGGATGAGAAAAGAAGAGGGAAGAGGGTTGGGAACCGTGGTAAGGTCTCTTGCAATCACTTGTGCTTCATGGTATTGCCGTTAGCAAACATTATTTTGACTCGGCAGTCGCCAATGTTAAGAAGGGCCGCGCAGGCAGTTGAGAAACTGAGGAAGACTGTGAAAGTCGGAGCTTCACCCCGTCTGATAGTTGCGAACATAATGTAACGAAGCAGCACAGCGATGGCTGTCCAAGATCGACAAGAGGACGATGAAGATAGCAGTCAGCAACGGAGCCGCTACCCGTTCTGAAAGGAGGAAGCGGATAGCGCTAAGCCAATACAGCGGTCACACAAGGTTCTACCTGAATGACACCGACAGTCAGAGCTCGCAGTCAGAAATTGGAACATCTCCTCATTCACAGGGAAATGGCAGGAGCCAGTTGCTGAGGCCCTATATTACCAACTCGGCATGGTTGGACTCTCGTCAAACAAATACCAAGGTTTT